GGAAGTCCATATATGGCTACAAGTTAATGAAGAAACTGCGGACAGGTGACCTCGGCGTCCCTGATTGGTGGAATGAACGGAAACAAGACGGGAGGACCTTTAAAAGGAATTTTGGACATTTGATACTATGTAATGTTTTATTTTTGCTGCTACAATTGTATTTTTATTAATTTTCTCCTGAGGAAGTCTTTATTAAGAGACGAAACGCGTTGAGCTTTGCATTGCTGCTTATTCCTGTCTCCTATCCAGCTGGAACAGAGGGACACAGAGACTTTTTGATGGGCATTTTTATCTTTCACTTCTTGTAAGTGCGTTTAATTAAAGTGTCTTTTTACATTTTAAGCATTACTGTACTATGTCCAGTTTTTTTTTTTTTGACATGTATCCTGGGACATTGAGGACGTCTGTAGCGGAGTATTTAAAGGAACCTTGATGGGCTCATAATATTCGTACATCTTGTGAGTGTATTATTATCACCAATGGGGCCACATTTTACCATATGTTGTCATTAAGTGAAAGACAAGCTTCTGAAGCTCTGTCCTTAATGGGTTAAGTGGTTAAAATGTAGTTGTTTTGGTGCTTAAAGTGTCCCTTTAAAAAAAGAGATTTCAATAACAGTAGAGGAAAGGGTAGGGTTCTTTACAGTAAGAATATAGTTATCCTTCTAAATAAGTTGTTTTATCAGATTTAAAACAATTTATAAATCCTAGCTTTAAAAAAAAAACATTTAAAAAAGAACATTTATATGTGGAGTAACATCTTGTTGGATTAAGAAGGTATTTTTCCCTTTTCGTGGAAACATAACTTTAAATTGTATTTTGGATTAACAGCAGTAACAGAAATTCTCAAAGGATAGAACTCGAGTCTCATTGTCAGGCCTATATTACTATATAGCTTTGTAAATTGTACCAAGGCACACACATTATTCCGTATTAAAATCATATATATTTTATTTCTTCATTCTAAATTTCATTTGGCGTACAGCTATATCACTATACCACTAACTATAAAAAAAATTATTTCATTGTAAAAGTAGAAAATCTTTGAAAAAATGTATTGTGGTTTTCAAATATCTTTGTTTTTCCACTCACATAGAGTGTTCATGGCACAAATCACTGATAAATGCCTCTATTTGGAACTTCATTAGACAAAGTTTCAGTCTAGTTATGATTGTAGAAATGACATTTAGACATGCATATGGTTAGTTAGTTTGTGACATAATTTGGGATAAATTGTCATATAGGTTCAAGTTTGAATGTAGATGAAAGAATACAAATCAATAAGTAAAACTGAAAATAAGTTTGGAAAGGTCGATTTTGCTTAGTTTTTTTGGCATTTTAAAATCCAGACTCTCTTCTTGCTCCTGCTTATGTCATGCTGTTATGGATGCCATCCGTTTGGCCATTTTCTCTGACTAATATTATTATTATTATTGGAAAAACATATGTAGACCTATATCAGAATGATTGCAGGTCTCTGACTTTACTTCTACAATAGGACCCAATCAGTGGTGTATCCTGGTTTTGTGCTGCCCAGTGGCTGCTGTGCGGGCGGCTGGCGAGGGAGCTCTTCTTCTGAGCGTTCTGCTTAGCTCCCTCGCGCGCCTCAGAGTGAGGCTGGGAGCCGGAATATGACGTCATCAACCCGGCTCCCAGCCTCACTCTGCGGCGCGCGAGGGAGCTGAGCAGACAGCTCAGAGGAAGAGCTCCCTCGCCAGCAGCCGCCCGCCCAGCGCCCGGCATGTCAGTTAGCCGCGAGGCTAACTAGGCATTTGCCCTGGGCATTTGGGGGCGGCGTTTTTTGCCGTCCCCTGAAAAATACCGCCCAAGGCAAATGCCTTATTTGCCTCGCGGCTAATACGCCCCTGGACCCAATGACCAAAAACCTGGTTAAGGTAAGTAATGACAAATATTAACAACACGTTGTTTAACCAGAAAATGTACATTCAGATAATCTCTGGTTTCCAAGTAGGTAGGAGTCATATATTAATTATCTATGCATTTATAACTGTTTGTATATATTGTGAATAATGTTGCAGAATACAAAACTGGGATGTTTTGGTAGTAGGGCATTGGTCATGTCTGTGTAATCCATAGGAATATTGCAAATTGTGTGAGGAAAACACAGTGGGAAAATTATTACTACTGAAGCTGGTAAAAACTCATGGTGAAAAGGCCATGATCACGTAAAAAGGCTCAAAATGCCCCATGTGGAATATTCCAGGTTGCCTACTTTTGCAAGTGGTGTAGCATAAAAGGGATAATTTGCAAATGTGTGCTGCTAGGCCCAGTAAATAAATCTCAATTTCAAGTCTTCAAGGTTTACTCCAAACATCATAACCTCTACAGTCTACTGGAGTGGTTATGGTGTCAGGAGTACTGTGGTCTCACAGCTCACAGGTAGTGGAGCAAACTATTTAGTAATGGTTTAGCCCCCGTACTTGGGTCTACGCTGGGCTCTGAGGCTCCCTGGTGGTACGGTGATGCGCATCCAGCTTCTGTAGAGGTGCAGAAGTTGCGGTTGTCTCCATTTGGTTAAAATGTATTATCTGACCATTTTCAGTCAATGAGTTACATTCTGTGCAATGAAAGTCACACTAAATTGACATTAGCCAGGCTGATGACATACCAATGACGCTGCCAGAGGTGGTGTTACACTTTCAGCAGCAGAATGTTTAAACTTTGTGTGTTCAACATTTCATAGCAAACTCTGCACATACAGACTCCAGGCACCACGACTACTTCAATTAATCAACCACGGGAAGTAAAGATGTTATTTTTTGCAAATGGTATACCATTATGGGTATATTTGCAGTAATAGCGAGTGGGGAAACATGGTGTCCCAGTAAATATCCAATTTTACTCTAGAACCTGTCTAGAACTGTCCAACTACAATCCACTGGTATTGATGTAGTAAGTTTGTGTAGTTGAATTCAAAGAGGGGTTTATTTCCTGCATTAGCCTATATCAGGATTAGAATGTTCAGATAAAAAAGGTAGAGCTCAGATTGAATTTATGTGAAAACAAAAATAAATGAAAAAATGTATCCAGAGGTTAACACAGAGAATATTAAAATATAAAAAGTAAATATCCGGGGAGGGGTGTTGTGCATTCTATAAATATATATTCTTGTTTACCAGTTTTGGATTCTGTAACCATTATAAAAAAAATTTCCAGCATACCGAATTATGGAACCATTGATCTTTCAAACAGTAATTCCCTCCATTTAGCAATCTACAATATTTAAAAATTGACAACTGACATCTTATTAAGCAGTTTCCACAACTATTACTAATAAATTCAAGGAATGTCCCAAGCAGCATAAGCCTGCAGCACACTGTAGTGGTTATGGTGCCAGGGATGTACTGGCACCCATCTTATTGTTAATACTTAAACTGTTCCAGAATGCTTTGACTTGTCACCTGTGTTCCATCGGGAAACACTCTCCGCCTTCACTACCTCAAGCAGAGAGTCTGAAAATCTTGAGTACTTGCCTCCTGGATTAAGCCATTCATTACCGGGCTAGCTCACTGGCTGAAAGCTTCAGCTGGCCACACTCTGAATGAGTGGAGCCTTGAACTGTTGAATTTAGCTCAGAGATTGGGCTCCCTGCTCACTGCCTGAGGTAGTGGAGGTGGGGAGAGGTGCCAGGTAATAAGTCAAAACGTTCTAAATTGATTTGACTACTTACAATGCAGGCTCCTTGGAACTCCTGTCTCTGTACCCACTACCGTGTGATGTAATAGAGACCTACCAGTGTACCTATCTGCCCCTTAAAAAAAACAAAAAAAAACTAACACCAATAAAACTTGTACATTGATTATACCTAGAGCTACCTCTCCTCACCTGATATTTCTCCCTGTCAGCTGAATGACTACACTAATTCTAAAACTCAACTTCACCAAGACCTAACTCTTTGTCTTTCCTCCCTCTAAGGTTTCATTTGTGCCTATTTTCCTTTTAAATCAATGGAGCTATTTTAACCTCTAAGCCGTGGGCACATTGCTTGTCTTGATTAGTATAGCCCTCTGCTTGAAAAGTGCCCAGATTGCCACTCTACAGTCCATAATGAACACCTTTGCCAGACTCATCTACCTAACGTCCGGCAACTTCCACACCTTTCTGTCCTTCTCTAAAGTGGCTTCATATTTCATTTAGGATTTGGTTCAATGTTTTCATGCCTCATTTAAGTCCGGCCTCTTCGCTCCACCATCGCCTTTTTAGTATTCCATTTTTGCACCCACATCCCAGATTTCCTGCTGGCAGGACTTTTCCAGAGTTTCTCCATCCTAATGACATGCCCTCCCACACCACATTTGACTCTACTAGTCTCTGCAGTTCAAAAAACACCAAACCTAAAAACGCACTTGAGAAGTCTTCATATATCTACTCCTTGTATAAAAACTCCTGACATCTCCTAACTATGCTCCCTCCTCCCAAACATGGATGTGAAATATCAGTTATCAGCAGCTTTTCACTGTTCAGCAACCTTGACTGTGAAAATAAATATTTTAGTTCAAGCAAGACTGATAATGAAGGGAGAGATTTATCAAGGCAAAAACAGGACGTAAAGTAGTACGTCTGTCCAGGATTAGAACTTTGCACCCTGAATAGCATCGGTCTTAATAAAAATTTAGCAAAAATTAATAAAAAACAAAAACGAATGTAAAAAGATTGTTGCACATCCTAATGTAGCTAGCATTTTGTACCACTGCGTCGCCGTATGGAGTATTTAACATTATATTTCTCTTGAATTTCTCCCGTATGAATAACTTTTCTCTTCATTTTAAAGCACGGAGTCGTCTGCAAAGTTTTACGGATGACAAGGTTTTGGATAACTGTTAATTCATATTTGTACATGGCAATAACATTCAATGTCTTAATTAAATGCATTTCTGTTTTCACTTTCAATATTCTCCCCTTCAACATTGTTAAAATTTTCTTCTCTCTGTGTACACTCGTGGTAGTCCTGGTTATTCTCTCCATAAAAAGCACCTGGTATCTCCTGAACACTCATGTTGTTATTGTTCCCAATCTGTACATTTCCTGCATTGTTTATCTGAATAATTGGGGTTTGCCCATTCACTGTAATGGGGGAGAACATATTTTCTGATGTGGATTGCTGAGGAAAATTCAGACAAATTCCTGAGCCTTGCAAAGGCTGTTGTGCCAGTGGCGGCATTGCAGGCATAGGGTGGTATGCTCTATGGGGATTGTGATTTGATGGTACAGAATTGCTGTTGGATGGCTCAATTTTCAGCCGTTGCATCATTTGCCTTGTCTTCCAAAGTTTCTCCTGTTCCCGAACCTTATACTGGGGAAATGACTTACGCACCTTCATTTCAAAGGCAGGCAGCATCTCATCCAGGGCTGTTAAAGTACGGAGGCAGAGTGGGATTTTATGTCTGTCAAGTCTGTCTTCTTTAGGCAGGAAAGGGATAACTGTGCCAAATTTCCTAGGCTCATTAATAGAGTACATGAGAGCAGTGTTTGACTGGAATTTTGTCCACTGGTTTTCAAAACACTTTGTAAACAATAGGATGATGAAGGCACAGTTCTCGATAGCCTCTTCCATGCTATTGATTGGATTCTGACCGGGGATTTCAAAATGCTCATAGAATGTTGTGCCTTCTCCAGCACCAAGTTTCCGTAAAATGTTACAGACCCTGGAAGCATTTTCCACATCGTCAGGAGCGTGAAGAATGACAAAGCTAAAAAACTGAGGGTCTGACATAGGAGCAGAAAGTGGTGGTATAGGGACATCTTCAGGTGCACTATGGTTGGACATAGTGCATTCAGATGAACTGCTCTGGAGTACACGACAAGTAGGTTGTGACTGTTTTTCATTTGCAGTGGTGCAAGATGTGGTGTCAAAAGTTGTTTTTTTCTCAGTAGCTGTATGTTGAGACCCAGTCACTTCAGTTTCCATTCTAGGAAAAGATTTACTGGATTGCTGGTACTCCTTACTACTATTTTTATTCACATCAGCATCACACTTGGCAGTTTCTATTCCACAGTGTACAGGGACTGAACTCTCAATATGAGAAGTACTGACCACATCACTTGCAGAGTTGGGCCGTGGTAGACTTTTTTCTAGATGAGCGGTAACGATTTCCTTGGAATGTGATCCATGGTTTCTTTGGTCTAGATTGAAAGCCATGGTAGGTGTCTGGCTAATTTCCAGCGGATTGGACATAAGTAGGGATGACTGATGAGGGATTGGAATTGGAATGCTGCGTAATGCTTTTGGAGAATTGGAATCGTGGCTTTGGAACATGTTTGTAGTAACCTTATGCACAGGTTCTCGTGTAGCATTAGACTCTTAAATTGTACTGTAATAAGCAATTTGGGGTCACTAGTTAAAGGAAATAACACCCATTTCCATTCCCCTTCTCCTGCTTCAGTGCTATATCTTTAGTCACAAGATTTTAAGATTTCATAGTTTTCTCGCCTTTTTCCCAAAACAAGACACATAAAATCAGAGAACAATTTGTGTCTTTTCAGGATCTCTGATATTGAAGATTGTGAATTTAAACGGGAGTTGATCTACGCGGATGCGAAGATAGAAAATAGATATCCTCAGGACAATCCACTGAAGAGGGTGCCAACCAGATCCTAGTTTAAAAGTCACGTAAATGGGCTCGTCTGAATTATCAGCACCTGTACAATGGAAACAGTGGAAATTCAGTCACTTTATACATTGTTACATCATTTTGCATGACTGTATATTGGGCATTAACCTTTCATAAAATGGCTAGTACTGTTGTAGATATCTCAAAGTTTTTATGTGGGCTTTAATTCCTGTATAAATTGCTTAAAGGAGGGAACTGTCACTTCAGGACATTTTAATATTATATTTAAGAAATATGTATTTGTGAGGTGTGAATTTTAAAATCTGAAATTTCACACCTTTTTATCTTGCAAATGGGTGCCTCCAATTTGTAAATCATTATTTTCTTCTGCAGCATAGTAAATGTAGAGAATGCATATAGAAAACTGGAAAAAAAATAAACATGGCTTCTTTTTTTCCCTTCTCACTATAAAAGTGCCCTGTCGTGCATGGACTGTGATGTAATTTACTAAATCTTTAAAGAACATTAGAAGCAACAAAATAACTTTAGGTTAATGAAGCAGCTTTGGTATATAAATCATGCTCCTGCAGTCTCACTGCTCAATTTTCTGCAATTTGGGAGTTAAATTAAGAACGGCGGGTGTTCTATGCCGTCCTTTTTGGGGTGGCTCTAAACGCCGGAGGGCGGCATTGAACGTCCCCACCCTCCTTCATACTCACCAGGTCCCCACCAATCCCCCGATGGCGGTCTCTATCCTGAGCTCACAGGCAGACCCCCTCTGCCCGATCTGGCCCTCCTGTGCCATGTGATTGCGAGTTCCTCGCGATCACATGGCCGGAGTAGCTGGCTTAAGCAGTGCCTGCAGGGGGACTGCCTAAACTCTCAGGCTGTGGGGGCGAAGTCTAGCAGCTGCCTAACCCAGCAACCCGCACACACAGAGCACAGCTTCCACTGACTAAAACCGGGAGAGGCTGCTGCACCAGACAGTACCTTTCTCGGGAGCTTAAGACACTGGACTAACATATCCGAGGCTTGCGGCCTACATGCAGCTGAGTCACTGAAAGGCGTCCGCTCTCCGGGCTCTCAAGCTACAGCTGGGACCCCAGTGAAACTCCCCCCCCCTTCACCGGACCGGCAGGGGTCATCCTGGTCCTCACCGATGAATTTCACTCACCTTGCTGACCGCTAACAACCACTGCTGCAAGGGACCGAGCTCCAACACTCCTACTCAAGATAGCGGCCGTACCTTCCCCAAGCGACACATGGCAAAAGCCGGTAGAGTCAGATGGGTGCATTACGCTAGACCTAATGCTGAAGCACATGGACGAGACTCTCGACCGTTTCTGGAGGCAAATGGAGGTTCGAGCTGCAGCAGCAAATGGGGGACAGAGAAGCAATCGGAGGAGGGCAGAAGATGGGGTGAGTGAGTCCCCATCGGGCAAAACCTTCCACCAAGCACCTACGCCTCACACAACAAATACCCTGGACCGAAGTCCAACAGGAATCCCATTCCCAAGCATCGTCCACAGAGACGGAAGCACAGACCCCACAAGCGACGATCATCAACCCAGATCTTCTGTCACCTCCCGGAGAGGAAGGATTTGAATCCGAAAACTGGACACCTGGTCCGTGGAAAAGAGATGCAGGCCTCAACAAGGCCTGGGGCTGGACGGAGGCCACGCACAACCCCTACCCAGTACTGCCTCCAGATTGCTGCCCAGTGTTTCCAAGCCGTGGCATCGTCTGACACCAGACTCTTTAACCGAGGCTGGCTGAAGCCTACCCTCATGCCCTGAGGACGCACACTATTTAATAATATGCTACACCATGATTCCAGAAATAAGGCCCAAACCTTTTAGTAAAAATGCGTACCGCTGCAATGTCCCCAGATAAACTGCTCGAGAGAGAGTGACCACCTTCAAAGTGTGTAATGCCATTAGCCCCCTTTCAGCCTCAAGTCCCAATTAAGCCCTGTACATACCTCTGACGCCTATTCCCGGCACTCCGCCACCGTGACACTGAGTGGAGCTTCGGTGGTCATTATCTTATTTAGTCGAGCAACACTATCATATCACTTTAAATTATAGTGATCCCTCAAATGTCACTAAGCTTGTTTATTACTCTTGTTATACTATGTCTAGTACGCTAACTCTTTGCGAAACTACATTGACAAACGAGCTTAGACATAAATACCTAGAATGTTCTGATAATCCTGTTCCCATTATAAAATTGTACATGTCTCCCCAATACCCCAAATGTAACACTTGATACTAGGCTAGAGGAATGCCGTTGGAGTACCTCAGGCATGTTTGTTATAAAAAAAGAAAAGAAGGGGAGCCGGCAAGGATAAGGTTTTAGTGTAACACCCTCGTCCCATACCTAATCCACAAAAAAAGGTCACGTAGACTGGAAAAGTAGGGGATAACCCTAAGGATTACAATAAATAGTAGAGAACCAAAGGTGTCACTTGAATAGAAAGTGACCACAAGGTTACATTTCCAATCCACTCCAATAAGATCGTAAAGGAGAAAATAATAATAAATAACAAAATAACTTTATTAGCAATTCTAAAAAGTACTAGGACAAATTAAACAGTGTAGCCTGATAGGAGGGGGAACAGCCCTGAGTGAGAAGCTCAATAATAGATAGTTAATAATAAAGCATACCACACTAGTTCCAAACGGGTATGGATTGGCAGTACGAGAACTAACTGAAGAGATAGCAATCTCCCCCTTTATGTGTTTAAGCCCTTATGTAAGTATATAGAGCACTGGTTACGACAGAGCCTAGTGTGATCTTCCAGAAGCAAAAACTAAAACGTAAAAGGAATATTGAGAGATATGCTAAATGGTGAGAAAAAAGCACACAGGAAAAAAAA